TCGGTCATAAGAGCGTTTTACCTCGAGCGACGCCGATGCTGACCCAGAAGCAAAAGAAGAGGCGAGTAGGATGGGAGGGGCAACACAAAGACGACGATTGGAACCGGACGGTGTTTTCCGATCGAACGAAAATACAACGCGCTCACTTTGGCCAGTCGTAAAAGGAGTGAAAAAAAAAACCTTATATGATCCTTGTGGTTTTTGTAGGTGCCATCCCAAAGGGTTTTCATTTTCTCTGCAACTGACCCGCGGAAGAGTTCTCGCGCCATAGGCTCGATTTCATTTTTGCACTGACGATGTGCTTGCGAGAGAGTCCAAGTTCAGGAGGGACATAGTCATCCGAGTCGATAAGGGGCTCAGCACCCAATCTATGGATATTGAAGAGAGAAGCCAGCCTCTCGTTGGTTTCCACATTTCGTAGTGCGGTATCAGCGCAATACCTCCCGTACCGATCCCTTGTATCTTGAAGGAAGGTACACAAGACGAAAGTACCTCGCACTGGTCGCTCGACGAGCCAGAGCATGTCTCGCACTGCCATCGAAGAAGTCGGAATTGGAGGCGGTGGTCTCTGAGTAAGACGCAAGCTTCCTTGGGGATTCAACCTTCGCCGACATCAAAATATGACACATGCTACGTGGAGGAGAGGTGAGGGGGTATGCCATTCGTCGACCATGACGTAAGAACAGCAGTTCGCCTCATGGAATACATGAAACGGCGCGGTAGTAAAACCACATCTCGTGCCGCCTGAGGTACGCGATACGAACGACTAGATGATTCGCATACGGAGATGCAGCGGGCACGAGACGGTACTCGTCTCGTTCATATCTCTATCGTGTACCACTGCTCGAGCTATTGCGCGTACATCCGGTAACAACATTCACAGGGAGCTCTGCCGTCTATCGAAGCACTCCTACCCGGCAGGTTGTGAGGTTTGTTGCGGCCGAAAGCTAGCAATTCCGCACTCTCTGGATCGGGTCAGAGGGTGCTCGAGCTGCTTTATAAAAGAAATACCACAGACAGTGCATACATCACGATTGACGAGAGGACCACTATTAGCTCCTGTTTAGGGCGGCTCGGAGTTCCATCGCTTGTCCTCCCCCTACAATAGGGATGCAGGAGGGGGGGGGGGGAGGGCTAACCCATCCGCATCCTCCATTCGCAATCTAATTTTGTTACCACTACCCTGTTCAACAAATCGTGTGGGTGATGTTTCCCATCCCATTAACCGATCCCGAGTGACAGGATGTCACTTTTCATTTCCCTACGTTTTTTGTCATTAGAAACCAAAATTCGCCATTTTCACCCCGAAGGCAGCGGAGTCTCTCAATTTAGCGTTAAGATGAAAGATTTTAGTTCCTAAAAATCAAAGTCTTTAGCGCCTTCGGTATCTCTATTCTCTACGCCTACCCGTACGAGCAACGACGCTTCGACGTGACTCGCCGAGATCCATCAGATTATTACCGGTAAAAATTTGGTTCGGGGCATTTCCTGTAACCCTACCCCTCAAATGTATCGTTGCATTCCGAGAACAAGAGAGAGTTGCTGAAAGTGTTCCGTTTCCTTCTTACAAGTGCAGTTTTATGTCTCGATATTTTGACCTTCATCCACATCTTTCGAATCAGAATGATATTTGCGTATTTAGACTCCTCTGAACAAGGACTTTGCAACAAAACCTTTTTTTTATCAATCAAATTCTGTTGAAGAGGCCGAAATGGACATACTCTTCCGTTAAAATGCGCCATGAACGATGAGTACTTTCCAATTCATGTTCTAGACAGGTACTTGAGAACCTGAAGAGGCCTCCCCACTGGGCATCAAGACGAGTCCATCCATGCATTATTGAGATAGTAGAGATGGAGCAAGAACTAAGCACAGAATTTGAGTCAGTCTGTTTTTTTTTATTATAAATATTATTATTGGTACTTTACAGTGCTTTCAGTACTCGAGAGGAAAAGGCGTATCCTTAGACCGAGGCGGTTTTTGCGTCTTCCTATAACGTTAGCTGTACTCGGTGATCAGAAGGTCATAAATAAGGAGATCCCCATTGAGAACAGCCCTTGATACGGGACGTGAAAATCGACAGACAAGACTCTTGACGTCCCTACGCGAACCTTGAACGTTCAAGTGCATTCAAATATCCAAAATCGTGCATTCCGTGATGAACGAAACTTTGTGAGAATGAGTTTGGAGAATGCAAGAAGTGCACTTAGTTCGAAGCCGATGCGTTAATGCAAAGGCGAGTTTTGCGATGGTGAAGCTGCAGGGGGAAGAGCTAATTCCCATCGTATCACCCAGATGATAAAATACCCAAGTCGGATTAGAAGATGGATCGCACGGATATCGGGGAGGGGTTGTCGAATGCTCCGGCCGGGGTATTTCACCATCCCATTTCTAAATACACTTGAATGAATTGATTATTAGGCCCCGCCCACAGGGGGGGGGGGGGGAATAACCCGCAGAGTTGAGTTTTTTTGGGTGCTTGAAAGAAACTGATTTCGATTCTTGGACTGGATTTCGAGTGCATGCGTCGGTTTTAAAACTCGCAACTCTGGAATGCAACTCTTATCCGCGTTTTGACTATTCCGAATATGAGTTCCTCTTTAAAATATTTGGTAAACGCATAAAGTACCTGTGAGCTCAAGGGCTCAATTCCACCGCTCTGCTCTGAGTTCTGGCTGGATTTTCTCTGCTTTGTTCAGAATGGCTTTGTTTATTCTTCAGTTTTCTTTGAAAACCACCCAGCCTGTCATAAATATCGTCACCATGGCGGCATAAAAAAAAAAAAATTTCCTATCGCTTCATTCTAGAGAACGTGCACAGCGAATGCCTTCCAGCACTGACTACTCGGTCGGAACTGGCACTTGGATTTCCAAAGGGCGCTGAGCACGTGTAATCAGTGAGATTGTTCGGCTTTCTGAGTGAAGGCTGCACTGAATAGTCTCGTACAAGGAGAATGTCTGTATTCTTTCACTTTTGTTTAGCACCTCGTGAGGATCCTTTGAACGAGGGAATAGAGATATTTTTCAACTGAGGAAGAGAAATCACTTGGGACACTTTTTATCCGTGACGACTAACTTCGCATGCCTTTCACCGGTAGCCCCTAATGGGCGTGATCCAAATTAAAATACAGGACTCCGATTCCTAGGCGAATCTTGGAGGAAAGCCTCAATGTTTCATGCACGAATCGGTTGCATTTTAAAGAAAGGATTATTGACTATCCTAAAGTGTAATCCTCGTTCGAGTTGTTGCTCGATATGCTGAGAGAATCGATAGTTAAAAGTGTTGCAACGTTTCCGGTGAGTCATTTTTCTCGTAAGAAAGGTTTAATTTGTCCCTCTATGAACGTGCATGTTGTTGTAAAGCTTCAAGTCCTAACTAGAAAGGACGCCTTCGGACGAGGAGTGGGGCGCTACCCCAACAAACCTCGGGCTCTTTCCGATCAGACGGGTCGAAGGTAGTTTCTGACGCGGTAACCCAAGTCCCGACTCGAAGGGAAGGTACTTGAACCTGGAGTCAGGAGGTGTCTCCGGAAAGACCTGTGCAGCAAGAGTGTGAAGGGCACTCGAGTATTTGCACGTTAGTAAGGGTACGTAATGCAGTCATGATGCTTGCAGTCGGTGAGGTGAGACGTCAATAGAAGGAAGGCATAAAACGTGCTCCATCCTCGCCTAATGACCCGTGCTACACGATCTCGAAGGACTCGTCTGTTGGCAAAACATGGAATGAAATAACTGCGTTGCGGCTCCGCTACATCACTCATGTCAAGAGGAAAAGAGGGGATTTGTGTGCCATAGAGGCGGCGTCGGCTGTATGACACATACACACGTAAGAAGGACTCCGTCGATGAAACAGTTCGGAGAGAGGGAGAGAGTGGATGTCTGTGTGTGTGTGAGGTCCCGCCCTCCTCCGTCGAATCGAGCCGATTCTGATTGGAGAAGGGCCTGGTTGACACCTCCTGCCATCTGGCGGGCCTCCGGCGATCATTCGCAGGCCCTACCCAGCATCCACATCCCTCCCAGCACTCATCACTCAATGAATATAGGCAAGAGTCTGCGGACGGAAGAGTGAACGCCTGGTTCAAGTTTTGTGAAGTCTTTGCGTTGGCATGAACATCTGGTCGCCTGGCTATGCAGGACCTCGAGAAACGTGAACACAGTCACGAGGATACTATGGGTCATCATAACGCCAGAGCATCGGCCACCGACTTCTCGATTGCTGCCATCATGGCCAAAAACCACGCATCTCGGAGCCAAGGTCAGATACCTCTCTCTCTCCCATACATCTAAGATAATAACCAAGATCCCAGTAAATGGGAGGCGTTCAACGGCCGATCACCATCACACGATCCAAAAAACCGTAAAAGTTCAAGTACATGAGATATTCAGACGTGAGCATCACGTCATCGTGAGCTTGTCGCATGGGCCTGTCATGTAATTTTCCGTAATGCCTTAGCATTTAAGGTATCTTATAAACTAATTCACCTACGAGACCTTTACAATCGAATTCTCATTCCTAATATTAGCGTAGGAGAGTTTAAATTCTACTCGTTTCCCGAGTGCAAAATTATATTCCTTCTGGATTGTTAACATTTCCAGTGAACTTCGCATACAAAAATTAATTCTGCTTTCGTTGAATTCAAACACTTAATTGGGACTCGTATTGGGACCCAGATAAATTTTTTAAATTAGGCAATCGGCCGATGGCAAGTAAGCCAATGAGACGACTTTTATCTTTTGTGCTCTCAATAAACTTTGCCCCAGGAAGCATAGAGAAAACTGTCCTTTCCTCCTGAATCCTTTGTCATACCTTGGTATCGAGGCCAAATGTATTTGAATCTCAATTCTTGTTAGGAAGACCTAGCTGACGTCTGAATCGATAGAAAATGCGTTCGTATCGCATGAAACTCTCACGAAGAAAGCTTTTCAATGCGTTTTTGCATCGTTGTTGCACCTGCCAATGTCGATGTCGAGAGAAGATGAATGAAATGAGTTTCAGCCAGCATGTAGGAATATCGGTAATAATGTGGACATTATATTTGTCTTAACTTTTTAAAACAACCTCCCAAACAGAGGAGTTCCTACCTAAAATTAGACTAGGTGACAATCGGAAGTTCTCCGCTAGCGACAGTCTTGAGCTGTCGCGGTCAGACCTCTTCGGTACCATCAGTTCCAATATGGGAAGAAGAGGTGATTTTCACCCTTCGAAAGAGACCGGAAAGCAAAGTGAAGAGGCTGAGGATGAACATCTGTCGACGGCCTGGTTGCACTGTCGAACATCTCATGCGGAATCCGCGCTCTTGTGCATCGATAGATTCATAGAGATCGAGATCGGTTTTAGACGAGGATGATACGAGTGGCAATGTGAGAGAGGAAAGGAATGATATCGTCAAGGTACAATGTACGAGATATAAGTATAACGAATCGGTTGGGGGTCCTTATCAAATGTAGGTGGTACACAGAGGGTCGATTGCAGTTCTCGGTCAGTGTCGACCGTAGTTCGTCAGCAGTGGATCGTAAGCCCAGTTTCATTGCTACTAAAGAACGAAGTATCGAAAACGTGTAAAATGAGCCCAGCCTCTGAAAGTTACTGGAATCACTTCAAGTAAATATTTCATATAGAAAAAATTCCTCTTTCATCGCGATTGCACAGCAACAAAATTGTTCCAAGGGGGGTTTAGCATTGCGTAGCTATAAAGTACACGAGCAGGGGAGCGAAGAGCCGTCCCTGATGGTGGGGGTGGTAGCAGCTCGAGGTAATGTACAGTCATTACGATAGCATCATAACACGTTATTAAGAAAAACCTGCGATGGCTTCTCCTTCTAATTAAAATGACACGGGATATTCTCCACGCGGAAAAAGATAAGTTACTGGATGGGATGCGGTACGACATGATCAATATTTGGATGACGATGCAGGCATATTTTTCATTTTTGACAACCCCCCGAGAACTTCATAGCAACATGAGAAACTCATACATATGCTAACGGGTACATAAGCCGAATGACTTGCAGGCGGTCAAGAAAGTGGAACATTTATGAAAATGCACCACCTGAAATTCCTCGTGACACGAGGTGGGATTCATCATTGGATGAAACTCATCTTTGTCTGAAGTGGTACGTGTCGCAATAGAAGGTGCTGAACCCAATTCTTCAGAGGTTGTGCTACGACTCTGCCATCATCACGTGGAATGGCACTAGCAGCGACTGCTAGTCGATGTATGCATTGAATTGTATAGAACTGGTAATCATATCGACTGGTACGAGCGAGACGATGACCCGTTCAATGACATCTGTTCCTTTAGGGTATTCCATATCTGCCTGTACATCGAGAGATATTGCTGCAAATTATCATGTATGATATGACACCACAGAACTCATCTACTTCATCTGGATGTTAAGTTTCATTACTTAAACTAGTGTACTTGTCCGTGCATAGCCGATGCATGGGAAATTGATTACAACATAATAGTGTTGATAAACAATCCAGACTTGCCATGACTTCAGATGCTACCACGTGCGCGGAGTATGAACGTTATATGATCCATGTATATGCTAGATGTACCATATGTCCGGAAAACATCTTACATTTTGGACTTTGTCTCAGAAAAAAACATGATATAATATGCTCACCTATGGAACACGACGACCACAGCAACTACGAAGTACAATCAGCATACTGGTGTGATACTTAACTCACACACGCCTATCTGCGAACGGGTTTTGCCTATGTGACTACTTTTGAGACTGCGTCTAAATGTAACATGTTTTCCAGATATATGGTATGTATGCGGCAAGGAATGAAATGAAATGAAATGACAATTGTCAACTGAACGTAAATATGGCAAAAAAAATTTCCTTGCTAAGCGCAAATACAAGTTACAGGCCTATTCGTCGAAAAAATTTGGCCCTATACATGAGATTCCTGTAAATTCCCCATATTCAATAGAATACTTGCATAAATGAGAAGTACCGATCCTCTATTCTCATTAAGTTTTCCTTTCTTAGCCAATATTATCGCGCTAGAAGAATGGAATATATTCCTGGAGTGCATCAGTCGAAAGTGGAAAGATACCAAGATGAAAGTAGACACATTCGTCCTGCTTACGTCGAACCCATGAGGTTTTATGAGGACGAGACAGTGTGGCTCCGTTTCCTTATCTGATTTAGCGATACTATGTGCGACGCAAAAATCTCGAACTCATCCGTCTGAGTTCGCATTTCTTTTTTAAGTCATTCTGGTTACCGTCAGGCCTAGGGCTATCGCCCTCAGGAAGGAACAAGACGGGCCTTGACGTACAAAAAAGCAAAACGATTTGGAAGCGTGACTCCTTTTGAAGGATCTCTGCGAGTGCCTAGGACAGGCAGGACATGTCTAGCCAATTCATGACACTGATGGAGTCCGCTATTCACGCTGGTGTTTTTGGGTGTCATGGCATGATCGTGCCGTTTCCGAGAGGGTCGTTCTAATTCTGAGAATTCTTTCAAATTAGGGATCTCGGTTGTTCGTTTCTTGCAAAGAACTCAAAATCATAAATTCTTAGCATGCAATAACGATGACGGAACGTCTTATATTGCGTTCCTTCCTTGAAAATCGCGTGCGCCCAGCATGATCTTTTCATACCTTTTCTAGATACGGAGGAGACGAAGAAGCAGGTCCTTCTTTTGCCTTAGACTTCATTTAGTGCTCTGATATTCTGACAGTAAATTTTCCTTTTAATAGGCGATACTTGATGGCAAAATGACTCTCTTTATCCCAACACATCCCGTCTTGTCTCGTCTTGCCACCCCCAGTGAGCGATTAGGCTAATACAACCGAGTCATAGTAATTGTCGGCTTGCACTTGGCTTAGAAGCGCAAAGCGGTCCACCACTGGGCCGAACTGTGAAGGATCTCAAATATCTTTGTCCTCATCATCTTGCCCCAAAAATGGTAGGCAACGTCGAAGTAATGGAATGCAAGGGGTCAAATCGACATTCATTCCTCGCCTCTTAGTCAAACTTTTGCAAGTCCAAAAAACGAAAATTGTTCAGGGGACAAAAAAAAACCACCTAAAGTGTAGTAGTAATTGTATTAAGCCACTTGTAGCTCAGTTATGAAAAGGCAAGCTTGGCTGACGCTTCAAAAAGGCATCCGCTGATGTTTAGAGACCAAAATGGTACCGGTAAAAGTGAACTTGGGTAGGATTTGTGACGTTTTATCTCATTGAATCCTTGCTTTGGCAATCAAGCGGAGTTTCGCAACATCATCAAAACCAAGGTTTCTGAGATCTCGTCCTAGTAAAAGATCTCTTCCTGTACTGCACGCAATCGTAGTGCAGCATTGTGAAGAATTGTATGAGGATCATTTTTTCCTTCTTATGAAATGTGAATGCTCGCTCGATGGGAACATCGGCAAACTCCGAGGAGGACTAGACATCATTTCAAGGATTCCTCGGCTCGTGTGAGAAAAATTTCGACCCCTTAAGTCTTCGCTTCCGAAATCCGTCTCTCTTCTGCGTTTTGAACTTGCTTTTGGGGCCCAAATCACTCGAGAGGAAAATGCTAGCACTGTCCATTCGCATTTTAAGACCGGACATAGGGGTAATTTGATTGATAAAGGCAGATTGGGTTTCGTGTTACCTTAGATTATGTGATTACTAAATGGCAGGGTCGGAATTTGTTTCACTTATCTATCTATCGCGTTCTTTAGCGCACGATCTTCATATGATGGCTGTTACGCGGATTATTTCCATCGAAATGCAAGAAGCAGAAATAAATGTAGCATTTGTGTTTTATGTAGGTTTTATCTAACAATCTTCCAGGTTGAATGCAGCAGGAAACTAAGGTCTACTAAGAGTTTTGTAACGGTCGGTATTTCTGGTACGTGGGCTAGCATGGACACATTCATTGATCTTCCTCATTCATTGCTTCCGGCTCCACCTAAATAATAATTCATTTTTAGAGAATAGATTCTCTATATCGAGCTCATGAGGATTAACCTCTCCTTTCTCTTCCCAGGGGATTTAGAAGTGGAAAAATGTCTAAAAGAGGAGGAAGAGGAAGAAGAAAACGGAACGGAAGAAGAAGAAGAAGGTGACGAAGAAGAAAGAGAGGGAGAGGAGGAAGAAGACGTGGATGTGGATGGGGAAGGGAAGGAGGAGAGAAAAAAGAAGAAAAAAGGATCAGAAAGGAACAACAAGACTCAAGTCAACCCGCAGCTGAGAGAAAGATGCAACAGCGAAGATCTCCGAGGGGTACAATGTCACCTGGAAACGAAGGAGCTCTGGGACAAATTCCATGAACTCGGCACGGAGATGATCATCACGAAAACCGGCAGGTAAATATCCACAACTCCCCTTCTTCCTGCTCGTACAGTAAAGAATCTTGGCACCTTGCAAGAAGCACGGAAGTGCACGGATGATGGGAGGTGGAAGAATTTTCCATCGCGCTTATCCTCCTTATTACAGATAAGAACCAGTCCTCTTCGCTCGAAAGAACAGGTTGGCTAGCGATCCAGCGATCGCTAATTTTCTAAATGAGCTTCCGAAGAATATGAGCATCATTTTCAAGACATGTGAAAAGTCATCTGTGTCGATACCAGTAGTCTCGGTCGGAGACCTCCGGCTTACTATATACGATCCACAATCGTTTCACGGGGCTGGGTTTCTCTCGCGGGGCGCTAAGTAGATACAGATCTTGAACCCTCTCATGTTCTTCGAAGAAAGTAATTTGCTTCCTCTATTTGCTCCAAGTAACATTGAGGAAAGGGAAGACGAGATGAAATCTTCCTTGTCTGGAGATTTGAGCTGCAGCGGTGAGAAAGCAGCAAATCCAAGATTTTTCAGAATGGACGGACGGTTAGAATAAGGGGCTCGAAAGGAGACGGGATTGACTCGGTGAAACGAAATGGGAAAGTTAGGTAGGCCTACCTAAATCGTAGAGGAACCGTGCGATACAAGAACATGACAGTTTTTATTCTCGATCGGTTATGAATCGAGTCAGCCAGTCTCCAGAAGAGAGAGGAAGACCCGCATCGGATGCAATGATTTCTGTAATCGCCTCAGCCAAAATGGGATGCGAATAAAGAGTGGGTTACGTTCCCCAATCGAGACCGAGAGGATGATGGATGTTGATAAGGATACTTAGCTGGGATATTCTTTGTTTCAGGAGAGGAAGTATGGACACAATAGGGGGTCTGGATAATGTCAAAAGAGGTGACATTTCCATCGCACCATCATGTCATTTTCATATTTATCACCCCTCCTTTCTGGCGTCAATTCCGATGCAGACACATACGAGCCATGATTAATATCGAGCCGGACCATGATAATAAAGAGGGGTAGGTCTAAAAAAAAAAGGTAGGCCTAGACAGAATCGTTTCTCTCCCGCCTTTTGAAAGGTTGATATCGACGTGGAAGGATATAGAAGGGTACAGACACAATACAAGAGAATAGGGCGTGCGTGTCCACCCCTCATCAAGAGGAGATCACTTCCCTTTTACACCTTCCCATTTTTTCCCTCGATGATTTGTGCTCTCGTTGGCTAAATGCCACCGAATGCAGGCGATAATCACACGAGAATTAATGTCCCCTCATTACGGAATTCCCCCCGTGTGGCAGGAGGATGTTCCCGACGGTGCGGGTGTCGTTCAGCGGATTGAAGGCGGGAGGGAAATTCGGGGTCCTCCTAGACGTGGTCCCCGTGGATGGGAAGAGGTACCGGTACGCCTATCATCGGAGCTCCTGGCTCGTCGCCGGGAAAGCAGACCCTCCGGCTCCTCCGAGGCTCTATCCTCATCCCGATTCTCCGTTCTCCTCCGAACAACTCCGCAAGCAGGTCGTCTCCTTCGAGAAGGTGAAACTCACCAACAACGAGATGGACAAACAGGGACAGGTTCGAACACTTCGTCATCCTCACTAGCATAAATACGGAAGGTTTCACGGAACTTGCTCCACCAGCTCCATCCGTCAAGCCTACCGTTTTTATGCTACCCTCACCTCTCGAGGCGCCAAGCCGACTGTCGAAATCGATCGACTCCAATATAGATCGTGTTGAACTCGATGCATCGGTATCAACCCCGGGTCCATTTGGTGAAATGGAGGGAAGGGAGGACAGATCCAGTCATTTCCCTCGACCGCGAGCACTTCCATACCTATGTCTTCCCGGAAACAGTCTTCACTGCTGTCACTGCATATCAAAACCAATTGGTGAGTCAACCTTATCCTCTTCGTGCGTGCACTAAGAACGTCGGCCTATCGTTCCTGATGTCAGAATCCCCCGGAAGTGTTAACTGTTTCGTGACGATAACGGTAGTAGTCGACCGAGCCAAATCATCCACGATACTTACCGTAGTGAGAGCCTTTCCGCTTCCCATTCATTCCTTATAACGATAAAATCTGTAGCAAAAGATCATGTATCTTCGCTTGTCGATCGTCAAAAATTTCTCTGCGTGATACAGAGACCAACCCTTCCTCAAAAGCTGAAAACGGCAGAAACAAGTTTGAAAACAATATCGTGGTACCAGAGGAGGATCGCGGATAGTGATTTTTCTTTTCTCAAAGGATTTGCGATTCACTTATGGGATTAGACGATCATGAGTCATGGATGGTTCGGATTCGATTCTGTCATCGAGTAATTTGCCGATGAATGCACTCTCAAATGGTCCTCAGCCTTTTGACTTTTCATGTCACATGGAGATAATTTTATTATAACTTGACACTACCTGATGGGATGAAAGTGTAATATATTCTAATTTTGTAACACAAATTCCCACCCTCACAAGTGAGGTTCGCTTAAGAACTTCAAAACTGGTATATGATATATCCTCCCTTCCCAAAGATCTCTGAGTTTACCAAATTTCACTTGTAGTAGTTCGGCATATGGGATATCTGAAAGCAGAGTCCACAAGGAAATACTAACACGACAAGAATGAAGAGGGCACCTTTCACCGCGAATGTGTATTTTAATACAACTACGCATAATGAAGTCCTGGAAGTTTGGGAGATGGAAGTACTGAAAGTTTTGAGACTTACTACTGATGATGTACCACTGGGTGCTCCTCAGCAAAAATTACAAAAGTTACTTAACGGACTTCGACATATGAGTCGTAGATAAACATCATTCGTCTTGACCGCGCCTTGGTCTTAAAGTAGTTAGTAATGGAAGTATTGAAAAGCACTCAGGAAGTACTCACTTAATCGGAACGAATGAGAACGTATGTCTCCATTCACTTATTATTATTTACTCAGTACAAACCATGGGTTTTTGGGACATTTACGAGTGAACTAGAACTCGAAGTAATGAAATGCTTTAACAATCGAGAAATCAAGAGGCGGCCCTTACTGTAATAACTGCTGCACCCATTTCCGATAGTAGTATACCGTTAGCCTTACCCCGCCGAGGAAGAGCAAGGACCCCTTGCTCCTTGACGGGGGCTGTCTTTTACAGATTACAAGTAGTGAGGTAATACCAAAGAGTACTACCAATAGAAGCGATTACTCTAGACAACTTAGGCATGTTTTGACTCATGTCCGTAGAAGGTTGTATCTCATAGGGGACAAACAATTGTAATTTCGTCATTGTTACTGAAGTGCTGTCAACCCAAATACTCGTTGAATACGAACAAGTGATACTAGCTTTGGACTCTGACTGAAAGCAGAGTGGGATAACACTTTCTAGATCATTTCATAAAAGGTGGCGTTTGTCGTATGAACAGGATGAGGACCCTCATAATTATGAAGGAGAACACAAATGGTCTGGAATCCAGACCTCTCCTTGCGAATGAGGCGGCGCACTGGAGGTTTTCATGGTACAGGGCATTAATGGATCGCCCGCGGGCTAGAAGTCCATGTGTATAAGGCCCGTCATTTCAGGACCGATTTCGGCTAAACACGTCCTAATGGCCTCAACTCCTCCTATGAGAATTTACGTATCTAGGAGGTTTGAAACATCGAATTGATTTACATTCCTTTTAGGCATGTTATAGACGTACTTAGAACGAAAATTCAATAAAACTCGTGTCAATGTACTCGTATGATTCTCCATTCCAGAGAGTACTGACAAATAGGATGCTATGATGAAAAGACGAGAGCTAAATGTCCCCATCGCGTAAAGCGCATTCATCTCATGGAGCGAATACAGACAGACTATATCTGGAGAAGGAATCAATTGATCGGGGTTGTCCAGTACGGCCGCCATCCAACAGTGCTGTACGGAGGGCTGTGATTGGTCAGGGGGTAGACGGCATTTGCCGATGTTTTCCGACATCCTGTGGGACATTTGAGGTTGACTCTCCTCCAATCAGAACACATTCTCAAATTTCTTGAATCTAGGTGCCATTGCAGGCCAAGGCATACGTACAATGGAACATAAACCGAAATTCGCCTCACTTCCCAAAATGGTGAACTTTTGCTCATTCCGTGTTAAGATTGACGACAACGGTTGAAATCTTATAGACTTGATACGAATTGGCCTATCGTTAGGTTAGTTGCGAAGAAATTTGAAAGCAGAGGAACTCGATAGGTGACGTTTTTTCATTGGAATGAGTGCCAAGGAACTTGATGTAAATAGCACGGTCCTCTGATGAAAGTTTGAGTGAGGTTGGCCGAAGTTCGGAATCCGTGTATGACCAGGTCTGTAGACGCACGTCTCACCTGGCAATTCTCCAACACCGTGCTTCACCCAAAGATGGCGAACGCTGGAAGCATGACCTCATAATCAAAGTATACCCATCGCCTCTCCAGATGCACCTGTGTCATTTAAACCCTCTGTCCATCGATGCCTTTAGCTTATCCCCCTTCTCGTTGCACCATAGCGTAGCATAGAGCAGGATTTCCCTTTCTAACGAAGACAATACGTTCGAAAATTTTGCCAAAAAAAGGGATAGCTTCGTATCAGCGTGCATTTTTCCACAAAGACTAGGTGTACTAAAAGGATGAAAACTAACGAACATAATGTTCACATGCGGATTACACACCTCGAACAGGCAAAAATATCAAGGAATGAGAGCGAAAGCACGCGCAACTGGCTACACATCTATCTGGACGGGTGAGATACGGGTTTATGACATCCATAGGATGAGACCGTGTTAAGCTACTGAATCTCAAGTTCTAAAAGAAACACAGGAAACTAGATGTCCGAAATCCTATCGCAAAGCAGAGCGAAATCGCATTAGATGACGCCCCCTCCAAAAAAAAAGGGAAAGAAGAAAACCTATCTAGACGTGAGATATTCGTCGCAAAAGTTGTCAAGTTTTTTGTGACAATAACAAATATATAGTTGGCCTTTCCATGATAATTCTAGGACATGACGCTGCGCCCAAGAATTTCAACAGCAACAAACAAAACAGCAGAACGAGTAATGATAAATTTTAGCGTGACCTTGCTTCCTGGAGCATCTCAAGTATGTCAATACAAACGGAAAGACCAGAAATGAGAAGGGAAAAATGGGGAAAGGAACTCTTGGAATCCGAAAGAATTGAAGATCCTCTTCGGGGAAACAGAACTGAAACTTAACAGCGTAATCAAGTTTCTTCGCGAATTCCTTCGCAAGCGAAGGTGAGCTTAACGAAATGGATGTAGTATGGCGGAACGGTTAGCTGCTGACTGTGCCCGCAGCTTAAGCCCATCTCACGACCGCAATAATTTCACACTCCACTGGTTGGAGAAAGCTCAAATCATGCTAACAATGTAACCAGTGTAAAATTTTCTATGGAAGTGGATTTATGGCGATGCTCGTGACACCACCCGATCTGAAACCACCAGCCACGAAGAAAAGCACTCTGGTGGGATCCGTGCTCAAAAGATCTTTTCACAATCGATAAGGAAAGGAGCAAAGAATGACTCCATTTCACTGGGTGAATTATGATTTATAAGTTTATGGTACGATTACAACCTGAGTGCGAATATCAAATGCAGCTGTAGGCTAAGAAACTTTTCGAACTGTTCTGTCCACTGCTCAGAAGAATGACGTAATGAAGAAATATTGAGAGAGCAAAAACGGAATAGAAATGCGAAGAACGTGGTATCCAAAAATGATGATGAAAAAAGGCTAGATTCAGAGAATGAATAGCATTGAATAATTAGGAATGAATGAGGGCGGCAAAACCATACTTGCGTCTCTCGGGCCTATATGGAGGAACAGGGCCCAGGCTAAGGAGCAGAGCAGATATCAATCTAAATGTAAGCCCTGTAGATTGACCTAAGCCGAAATAAACCCTAGAGTCTAGCTTTGGCCCACGATACCTCGGCTCCCAGTCTGGCACGACTGTCTAACCTGAGCTAAGCTGAGGGAGACCGATCTGCAGTCATTACTCCTCAAAATCTCATGCACTCATCCACAGTTAAAGATAAAATCGTCTGTGTAACTGCAGAGCTGTGGGTAATTATGCAGCTGAGATTCTGGCGCTTCATTGCTGGTTTTAGGATGTATGAGTTTTTTTTTTGAGAAGAGCATGTTGGAAATTTCAAACGAATAAATAAATTTTTGCTAAATTATTGAGCAAATGCCCTCCAAGTCGGCTTTGATACCGAGGAATACTTACATTTGTTGGAAGAAAACAGCTCTTTCATAAGTCTGAACAACTAAAATGATCAAGTTTTCACCTATCTCAGTTATTCGCAGTGCATTCAGAATTTGTGTCTGACTACAGGCAATCCGTGGCACGGGGGAATACCTTGTAGTTCCTCCCAGAAGCTTTCTTTTATTGGATTTATTCACTAGCAGGCTTAATGCAATTTTTTGGATGACGCTTTTTTTTTTTTGCAGCGACGACTAAAGTAGGAAGTAAATAATGATCTGAAATATCACGGACAAGGTAAAAAAATCCTTGAGGGTTCAGTACCCTAGCACCCGAGCGGTTCATAGGATCCCCCTTTCGGCGACCTCAACAATCTTGAGTCGAGTATGGAACGATTCTAACA